TAGATTTCTTTTTGATCACAGCTAGTTGGAGTTCTATATGCCTCACTTGCCTGTATGTCAAATTCTTTTTCCTTGCTTGGGAAGTTTTCTGTGATGACTTCTGTGAACAAGTTTTTTATGTCATTTGCATCACCTCCTATTCTTTCATTGGCCCCCATTAATCTTATATTTTTCTTCTTTGCATCATCTGGCAGCTGATGGATTGATTTCTTGTGGTCCCTTGCTATTTTTAAGAAATCTTTCTTTTCGTGGTCATTAACTGAAATCCTATCTTCTGTACCTGATATTCTGTCCTCACATTGCCTCATTCTGCTGCATATACTTTCAGTGGAAGTTTTAATCTCCTAGATATCTGTTTGAATCTATTTTATGGATTTCATTTCTTTCCTAAGTTGGGAATTCATGATTTCCATCATTTTCCTAAATTCCTCTATTTTTTTAAATCTATATCTGCTGCATAGTCACTAAGCATGTCTTTCACTTAACTACACTTAACTACAAATTTGTAGTTATCTGAGAAATTATTTCTGATTTGATTTTTTCTAAATCTTCATTCTTCCCCTTTGTTATTATTGTTGTACCACTTCAGAGAGTCCAAGTGCATGGCTTTCTTATTTTTCCACCTCATTACCCACTGGGTTTGCCTTCGGTGAGCTGGAAGTCTTGTGTTGCACCTTGTTTATGTGTCTTTTCCTTTTCTTTCTTTCTTTCTTTCTTTCTTTCTTTCTTTCTTTCTTTCTTCTTTCTTTCTTTCTTTCTTTCCACTTTAGCTCGTGGGTTAATTCTTATAAACTGCCTATAGTGAGTAGCTTTATTGCTAGTATTTAGAATCCTTAGAAAATGACTACGTCTTGGAATTATCTTACAGGTATAGCTGGCTTTTGAGTTTTGAGTGTGTTGCAAGACCCTGCCTCTTCAATATATTGGAGATGATTAGTTGTTGCCTACATGGCCCAGCACCTTGCTCTTTGGCACTGGCCTATAGTATTTTTTATGACCCTTAGGTAATTTCAGTCTTGATAGGCCAAGAAGAACAACTATTTAGAATAATCATGTCATTTTGACTAAAGTGGTACAATAACAGTAACAACAGCATCAAATACAGCCTAGAAAATGACAAACTGAGGTAACTATTAATTTTCCATTTTTAACCATATGGACTAAATTTATGGTTATGTAACAAAATCTAAAATGAACCAGAAAATATGTACAGTAAATAAGCCCTCAGTATGGTAATTTTCCCTTCAGGGGAGAAACTTTAAAAGGGGTTAGGGGAAAAATAGAAGAAAAGGAAGAGATTAGAAGCAAGGCTGGGGGACAAAGGAGGAGCACACAAACTTTGGGAAACTGATACAGAAGAGACAGAAGGGAAAGAGAGAAGCAAGAAATAAAAGGAAGAATGAAAAATATCATCAAGAAAGCTGAAACCATCTTCACCCTCATATAAAACAAGAATGATGAAGAAAAACAAAAACAAAAAAACTAAGAAAAGAGAGAAAGAAAAATGTCCCCTTGAAGGTGTGTCTCTGCTGTCACAGTAGGCAACTTGGTCACTCAGAATCCACATCCATGTTTTTTAATTTCAGCAAGCAAGCAATAGCCTTATAGGAGGGTAGTGGATAATTCCAGTGAGCTTGCACCTTTGTTTCCACTGACGTTCAGGCAGGTGTCTGGCCATAGGCTGGAACCAGACATGTTCAGCCTGCAGAAGTCCATGTGCTTCCTTTGGGTTTGGACTGCACTGGGAGCTGCTAGATGAAGCCATCATTCAGCTGCTCTGAGTTTCAAGCTCAGGTGGCCTCTCTCCAAGATGGCTCCCAGCCAATCATCCGCTCTTATGGGACATCTGAACCTGAATAACTCACTAGCCACCGTAGTCCACTGTGTCCACAGCTCCATTCCCCTGGTGCATTTCTCTGTGGAGGGCTCTGGGATTGCCAATAGTCAGTGTGCACTGCAGGTTCATGCCTTCCCCCCCATGCAGTGAGTCTGGGCTCAGGGAGAAAGTGCAGCCTGCTACCTCCTTCTTTTCACTGAAGTTTCTCTTTTTGTTCTCACTGTGGGCTTCAATTCTCACTTCAGGTCTTTCCTAGGTCCCCAGGCCTCACTTATCTCTTTCTTCTCTTCCTCATGTTGCTATATTCCGGAGTCTGGACACCAAATCTCAGAAAGCCTCTTTATCTGCTGCTCACCACTGTGCCATCTTCCCAAAAGTCCTCGAACCTTTCCATGAGCCCTTCGACCTTCCCAAAAGTCCTCCAACCCAGGCCTTTGACCTTTGACTTTTACTGACTCCTCCCACTCTGCCGTGTAGGGATGGCCATTTTGGATTCTTCTAACTCTGCTCCTTCAGGTGGCCAGTGTGACTCTTTCACCTCAGATCCTGTGAGCCTACTTAATAAATCTCTTTGTTTAACTATATAATTTATATTAATTCTACTCCTCTAGAGATACAGATAGTTTTACTCTTTATTTTCTAATTCCATTAGTCTAATTAATTGTATTGGGTTTTGCTTTAGTTAGAATATTAAATACTACAGGTGACATTGGATAGTCTCATCTTCTTACTGAATTTAGTGGGAATGTCTTCAGGGCTTCCTCATTAAGTAAAATGCTGGCTTTAGAACATAAGTGCATATACATTAAAATGTTAAGGCAACAACAATAAATTCCTCTTTCCATGTGTGTTTTAATTGGGGGTATTTCAAAAATCCTTCAGCATTCAACCAGATAAACATATAGTATGTCTTTAGGCATATTAATATTGTAAAACATCTTAATCAATTTCTTTTGTTTTTTATTAGTACATGTTTGCAATACATCAGTTTACAGTCATCTTAAGCAGTGCATACACGTACATAATACAGCTTGTTTCTTCTTAAAATACCCTTCTCTTTCCTTATTCCACTCCCATTCTCCTCCCTTATTTTCATTCTTATTGATACTGTTAATTCTATTACATGTTTTTGGCATATAATGTTTACATTCACTGAGGTTATTAGGTTCCTGTAGAAAGCATTTCTTTATTTTACTTATTTTCCCTTCCACTCCCTCTCACCCCATGCCCTTAGTCTCTTGGACTCCTTCCTATTTGCAAGAGATCTAACCCCTTGTTATTTTCTATCCATCCTTTATTGTGCTATTTGTACTTTCCCTTATTCATAAGAGAGATACCATATGGTATTTAAACTTGTGTATCTGATTTACTTCACACACATTATATTCACACACATTATATTTTTCAGGTGCACCCATTTTCTTACAAATGTCTCAAATTTGGCCTTTATAGCTGAGTAATAGTATTCTATTATGTATAAATACTACATTTTCTTTATTCAGTTGTCTGTTGATGGGTATACAGGTTGTTATAAACATTAGTATGCATGTATTGCTATAATATGATATCCTAAACTCTTTGGGGAAAATTCCTACAAGAGGGGTAGCTGGGTATATGGAATTTCTAATTTTAGTCCTTTGAGAAATCTCCATTCTGATTTCCATAAAGGTTGTACTAGTTTACATTCACTCCAACAATGTAGGAGAGTTCCTTTATAACCACAGCCTCACCAGTATTTGTTACTTTTTGATTTCTTGATCATTGCTGGTGTAAGATGGACTCTTAGTGTTGTTTGAATTTGTATTTATCTAACGGACAGAGATACTGAACATTTGCTGGCCATCTGTAAAACAGCTATAAAGCCAACTTGAGGCCAATCTTGTCAGGCTTTCTACTTGATGCAACATATGCTTGGGTTTCTGTGGTCCTCTTCCATATTTTCTATTAGAATTGGCTACTAAGGTACAATCAATGCTTTAAGAGGCTTAAGCTGAGCCTGTGTGCAAGACAGAAATGCACAGGGAGAGGCAGGAGGCTCTGTGACTCCCATTGAGGCCGCTGTCAGGATCAAGGGAAGAATTGGTGAGTGGCAGGAGGCAGTCAGGATGGAGCTGATGTGAGTATGATGGGTCACAGTGGAGGAAATAGAGAGAAGAGAGCAGTGATGTGCTAGAGAAGTGACAGGCAAGAAGGCTGTGGTGGGGGGAGTCTAGGTTTGAGCACTGGGGATTCACCAGGAAAGAGAAGATGGGGACTGACCTTGTGGGTACTGGGTCCTCAGGAATGAGAGAGCGGGCTTGGGCTACTGAATGCCAGGTGCTATAAATAGAACAAACTGTGGACTTGGAATAAAAAATTCGGGGTTCCAATCTCAGTCCTGCAATTAATTCAGGTCTCTATGCCCCTGAGGTGCTATGGAAACTCTGGGCCCTTTGGCTTTAAAGAACTCTCTTCTTCTTGCAGTCCATCAAATCCTGAAGGGATAGAACAGTTACATGGCAAAGGAGAGCTGCTGTTCCAGTTTCCTGCTACCCATTCCTGACCAGGACCCATGCTGAATAATAAGACACCAGAAAGTTGGGTGGGAGTGGGAGGCATATGGTACTGTTGTAGTAGTCAGAGATAGAGAAGACATTTCAGCCTAGGACAGAGGAAATGACCTCTCACAGCCATGACCAAAGCCACTGCAGTGGAGCATTTTTGATTATGCTGTATCCATGACTACCAGTTACACATAATGGGTAAGTTACCTTTGTCAGGTACCAGGATACCTTCAGAGTACAGGTAACACTGAGGAGGGTCAGCTCTAAAGTCCTCTGAGATTCCCAGATCATTGTGGTAGCCAAAATCTTAGAGGGTTTCTGGATGCATCCACAAACATACAACCAAATATCTCTGGTCTCCAGTGGTACTTTTTGTCTGTAAAATGAGTACCTTTGAATCAGTACATTTTACAAATAACAAATTACTTGTTTTAAGACTATAACTACCAATCAGCCTCAAATTTAAAAGCATAATCATCACCATTTATCACTAATTACTCTTGAGAACTGGAAGAGGCATGGGTGAGTTTTGCACCATTCTGAGCCACAGTTTCCTTGTTTATAAAAAGGAAGAAATGTATACTATCCACTAGTTCTCTCAGCTCTAAGATATGTTAATTCTAGAACCTGAGAGTTAGCTTCCTTAGGGCTCCTTTCATGTCCCGATTCCTCAGGCTGTAGATGAAGGGATTGACCAGTGGCGTCACTACCGTGAAGATGACAGAGGCAGCCATGTCCTGTATGGAGAAGGAAGATGAAGGATGCATATAGACTCCCAGGATTGCCCCATAGAAGAGGGAGACCACAGTGAGGTGGGACCCACATGTGGACAGGGCTTTCTTTATCCCCTGAGCTGAGGGAAACTTCAGTACCTTAGAGAAGATATAAGCATATGAAATGACAATGCATGTAAATGGTGTCAGAAATACCAACCCCCCCTCAGTGAAGGCAGTCAGGTCATTGATAAAGGTGTCATAACAGGAGAGCTTCAGGATAGGGTAGGGGTCACAGAAGAAGTGGTGCACAGTGTTGTTGGAACAAATGTTGAGTCGAACCATGAGCAGAATATGGAGGAGAGCATGCAGGTTTGTAATGATCCAAGAGACGACCACCAGGAGGACACAGAGTTTGGGCCTCATGAT